CTGAGCACCTGTACTGAGGTATCATTGAAATGCTGGTAAAGACCAACATAATCATACACTCATGTCTTCAACCCGTCCGTGCACGCTGAGCATGCCAGGTTGCAAAAATTAAGAGGTGCACAACAAGAAATCACTTCCAGATGGCAACAATGTAAATTAAAATGGCATAAATTAACATAAACTACATTTGATGTGGTAGCTTTCCCTGGCAGAGCTTGCTCTGGGACTCGTTTGTTTGATTTTATTTTTTGAAGGGCTTTTTAAATCTGTGTGGATGTTTCTCCTTTTATATAAAAGCATCTAGTTTCCTCATGCCACACATGCTTCCCAGGTCAGACACCTGTTACATAGAAAGCTTTTCTTCTGTTTTTGCAGTTTTAATAGACGTATTATTATTATCATCTCCCAAAAATCAAGTACAAATTTATATGAAACAAGCGTTGAAACTTGAGTTATTAATTTAACAGCTATTTAAATATTCACAAATCACAACCATCCCTAATCATCCCTGTACAGTTTGGATTTTGCTAATTTAGTCATACCTGCCAACACACCTGTTTTTTCCTGGGTCCTTTAAGGCAGTCTTATAGTCTCCTGCCTCTTAGCTGTTCAACATAGAATTTGTTTTTTCCTCACTGGGCCAGTAGATCAGACTTTCACTGGCCCAAAAAACCCTTTTGAATTACTTTATATAATAAACTAACTTAATCTCTAAAATATACCATAATTTTCTTGGGAGGGTTTTCAGAAAGAAATGTGTAGCTAAAGGAGGAGTGAATGCTGTGCCCCTCACCCGCCGCATGTCTTGCTGCTAGAAAGAGACATCATGCCTGCCAGCAGCCTGCAGCAAAGGTTATGAGAAATGCCAAATTGAGAGACCTAAGAAGTTTCCCTGTACACAGACAGCTTTGATTTTAGCTGCTTCTTCATTTGCTTGTGCTGTCTCTGTCTGTGTGGTGGCTGGAAACGGCTAGAAAGATCACTTTTCTTGACACTTAAACTTTCTGAACAAGCTGTTTTATTTTAATGTGAAAATACTGTAGTATATTACTACCCTTACTACTACCCTGTGGTGTAAGAAAAACACACTAATTCGTGATGGTTCATTTCACCCAGTACCCGTGAAAGGTGAACAGATCTGTGGAAATACTGTTTACATATTTTTTTAAGAAAAAAAAAAACAGCAGCTGGTTGGTCAACTTGCCCAACATATGTTTGTTATGTTGAACCCTGATGATACCAGTATTGCACAGACTTAACCTGCAAAGATAATCCCACACCTCCATGAATAATGTTCACATTACTGGAGTATTTAATGAAAGTTAACATTTAATTAACATTAAACTCTAACAAAAAATTGCCTCATTATACAAATCTAATGCCAGACTTTGGTGGAAAGTTAAAGCAGTGATGTAACACTATATACTGTAAAAGACCTATTTTGAGATTATTTCTGAGATTTGCCAGTTTGGTTTTTTTTATTATATTTTGACAGTCATACACTCGAAGGTTCAGTTTTCCTCCAGGTTGGGTGAATGAATAACACATGAACTTCTGTGAGCGAGAGAGAGAGAGAGAGAAGGTGCAGCAGAGTAAGAGTCAAAAGAAGACAAGAAATTGTTCTGTGGGTAGCACCTGTCCTTCACACTTCTTTCGCTTAAGAATTCAGATGAAATTCGTGCTCTGTGTTTGTTGGTCCTTGCTGTGTGTGCGTCTGCATTTTTTTTCCTCTCTCTCTCTGTGTGAAAAGTAATTTGGTGTTGTGTCAGTCAGGGTTATCTTTAAAAGCTTCTCATCACTGCTCTTTGTTCTGTTCTCTTGTGTAAGTCTGTCTTCTTCTCTCATTTTGTTTTTTTGTTTTTTTTGTGTCCTGGCCAGATCTGATCCACTGCACCAATGAGATGAACGTGAACATTCCCCAGCTGGCGGACACGCTGTTTGAGCGCACAGCCAACTCCAGCTGGGTGGTGGTCTTCAAAGCTCTTATCACCACCCACCACCTCATGATGTACGGCAACGAGGTAGGAGACATCACACACACACATACTGACACAAACAAAAGCCCTCCAGGGCAGTCAGAGCAAGCTACATCAATAAGAGATACTATTACTCAACCCTGTCTCAACCCACACACTCATAAATCCGAACATACACAGATTTTAAAAAGTCTTTTATTCATGTCTGTGCATTGTGATCAACATCAGCGGAGTGGGAGGGTGGCCGACCCGTATGGGACGTAAACAGCATGCACAGTAACTGAGGATGTATATATTGGACAAGAGGCGTGAGTGATTGAAGTAGCTGTGGAGCGCTGAGAAATTAATTAGCTCAGCCAGAGGCTTGATGGGGGACGAGGATGGAAGCAAAAGAATAATCAAATAATTTAACTTCATACATGTCTTGCTTGGAAGCAGGAAGAATAACTCAGCTGGGTCTCTCCATGGGTTTGCTGGCATTCAAAGACAAATCTGAAATGAAAGCCCAAGCAACCCTTTCTTTGTTCATGAGAACTTTTTTTTTTCATTAATTATGATGAGGTCTGATAAGGACCCGTGTACACAAAATGTCAGTTTATATGCAGCAGTACAGATTTTAATAGGGAGATCTGTGTTTATTTTATTAAGGTTTTTACTTAGTGAACCACTTAATGTACAGTACTGAGCTTTTAACTTGGTATTATTTTATTTAGAGCTTATTTACTGAGCTTCTCCTGTTTTTTCTGTTTAAATATCCTCAAGTCTATTTATTTACCTATTTTTGCTTTTTTGGGCCATGTTCTCCTCTCTTATTGTATTTATTTTACTAAGCAGTCTAAGTCATCATTATTGATTGACTTTAACCCTAACCCCAATGGTAGGTTCAATTCCAAATTGAAAGTCGGAATTTTCAACTGAACCCCGTCAGACTTCAGACTTGGAAAGTTGGAGCAGCCGATGGCGGCAGTTAACATAAACAATATTAAAACTGTAGAACTTGTAATCTCGACTGCTAGTGTTGTGTGTTTGTTACTTACTGAAAAAGCCCCACAGAGAGTGCTGACCAGGCTCTGTCCTTGAATGTGCTGCAGCGATGTTTTTAAGGAGTTAAAAAAAAAGCATTTTGCTTTACTGCTAGTGATGCACGAATGGCTCTACCTTGCTAAGGAGCTAGGGAAATAAACGGGCTATCCAACAGTATAGGATTTTTGCCAAGAAGGCTTGTTACCGTGACAAAATCTTCACTTCTTGTGTTAAGTTTGTAATTTTTCCAACTTATCACTCTCAGTCCAGCTGCTGGAGATGTTGATCTATCTGTATGAGACCAGTTGTCGACCATCTGGCAACCGCTGATCACTGCGGGGGGTCACAATCAGTCAGTTCTGACTGATTGTGACTGATTGCTGCTGTCTCTGGAGTGAAATTACTTGCAAAGTGGTTTACTTTCCTGCACCAAAACCCTCCCTGAGGTTGCTTTGGTTGCTAGCACATTGCCTCGGTCACCATGGTAGCTTTGCATACCAGACGCCAACTGGGCTGCTTACACCACTAAACTACCCGACAAGCGGTAGCAAAACCCTGCAAGTTGATACGTGTCATGCAAACTACAGCAGACATGGGTAATCTGCTAGCAACAGTGCAGCTTTTTACCTCACCAGCTGGACAGGGAATGCACTTTTTCCCCCCTAGTAACCTGCAGTTGCTAAGGGGTCAGTTTCCAGGGCTGTGTGGTTGAGGCCTTAACTTTACTTTTTTTCCCTGGTCATCCAGTAATGGTTTTGAGAAGCACTGCCATAACATGTACTACAATCCTTTGTCCAGGTAAAAGTGTTGTTTTTTGGGTTTTTTTCCTCTTTGTGAAAAAAGAGGTCACTTATTTACTTATGTAGTAAATATATTCATCTTATAGATGGTAATAGAACTATGCAACCACTTTTAAATTCATGCAGTGTACAAAAGTCACAGCTGGTTACCTAACCAGATCTTGTTTATCTCTAGCAACATTATGCGAGCGGAACTGTTGGTTCGCTTGACAAACTTCTTCACCATCTGACATAATCCAAGATACTTGCTTCTGTGAAATGTTCTGTTATTGAATTAAGCAATCATTAAATCCTGTAATGGCACAAAGAAAATGTGTAAAACCGAGGCAGGTAAAAGCATGCAAGTCACCTTTGTTGTTGATGCATGCAGTGCAAATTCTGGTTGTTGCATAAGATGCATTACACAGATTGCATACAGTGCTGCATAATAGTTCATGACACTGTGTGTTTGTGTCTCATCGCTGTTTTTGCTGCAAGTAGCTTGCACATTTGCAGTAAATAGCAGTGGAGCGCTGCATGAGGTTCATTTGGCGGTTGTGGTTATCATTAATAACAGTGGTTCTCTGGAAGTCACACCCAGTGCAGTTTCTCCTTCTTTGTGGTGAACTCTGCTGTGGTTTTTACCTTTCCGTTTCACACCAACCTTTAAAATTGTCGGTCTTTGACCTAAGATTTTCTCTATGCCCAGAGGTGATGATGTTGTTGGCTTGTAGAAGGACTGCACACAAAAGCGACTCTGCCTCTGCTATGGTTAAATACTTATAATCCTTCACTCTGCATTGGTGGAAAGCTATTTAGACACCAGTGCTGCACCAAAAGCTGGCCGTAACTCCTGCCTGATGCTTCCTGCTAGTTTCATAATGCTGAATGCAACTTTTCTGAATTGAGTAGTAGATGGTGGAAAAAAAAGGAACCTTTCTATCATTTAGCTGTCTATCACTTAATTATTTTGGTGTAGGGGTGAGGGGTCTTTTTCATTAGAACAGCTTTAAAACCTATGATCATACAGTTAAATGTAAGAAAATCTATATCCTCCCTTATACAGTGGGTGAGACTGGAGTGTTTGCTGGACCAATTCTGGCCTCGGACCTTATGTTGCACGCTCCTGGTTTAGGAAATGTAAACGTTTTGCTTCCAGGCTATTAGCTTAGCTCTCAGTCTGTTGCTGTTATGCAATGTTTTTGCGTAGCGATAATTTGGGAGCTTTGGTAGATTAACTTTGGACAGAGGCGGAATAGTTGGTTCCCCTTTTTCCTGTTTTTTGTGAAAGCTAAGCTAGCACGCCGCTTACTCATATTTATTGTGCAAACGCCAAAGTGACATAAATCTCCACTAACTCTCGCTAAGAATACGAAAATGAGGAAATTCTCTAAAATGTCGAATGATTCCTCTAAAAGAGCAAGCCGCTCTGTGGATTGTTGTCATTTTTCATCCATCAGATGTAAGTAGATAACAGTCGGCTATGAAATGGTGGGTAGTTAAGCTTGTTTGCAAATACACTGTGTACTGTAGGATCAAAAAAAATACCATGCACTTGTACACAAACACTCCCAAACGCCGACACTCCCTGCGCCGCATTCCTTTCAATATCAGTCAGTATGGGGAAGCATCGCTTCCTTGTTTTGCCAAGATCAGTTTTGTCCACATTACATAACATTTCCGGTTGGAGGTGCATTGTTTGATTGCACCAATCTAAAGTTCCTCTGAAAAATGAGGAAGACTTGGGAGTGAGGCAATTGCATTTTTGGTGTTTTGCTAGAAACCTCTTCCTGACTAGCAGTATTTTAGGTTGAGAGCATTAGTCACAATACTCCAGAATTAGCTGTTGCATTGACAGCACCAGTGCAGCAGAGACAAACTGACACACTAAAAAAAATAAGAATAAGTCAAGACCTTAGTTAAGAGAGACATCAGCAGGTACCTCCATCCTGTTTGATTGCTCAAGCTGTGGAAATTCCTGCAACATTTCTGATAAATCAAATCATGCTAAGTAGGTCACTGCAGAGCAGCAGGAAGTGGTTTAGAGGTATTCCCGAACTGTAGGCTGATTTATCTTGGAGCTGTCGCTGTCAGAAGGAACCCGTTTGATGTTGACGTCTCACCTACAGTGATAGCAGCACCACACTAGTTTCTAATTTCTGTGTTACTTACGAAGAGCTTGCAGTCAGTGTTTCTTCCTGTGTTTATTTCTGCTGTGGCATATTTAAAAAAGTCTAATGAATCTTTCTGATATAGCTTTGTATTACTGTCTTTCCACCTTTTCATTGTCCCCAATCCATCATGGAGCCATAATACTGAAGTAATAGGCATCATCTTTTTGTGTTTGCATGTAAAGACTAGTTAATGCATTATGTTTTTTTAGATTAGCTTTGCCTGTACGATCTTGTTGAGAGGTCATTAAATGTGTAAAATAAGAGTGATGCACCGATTCGCTAATAGTAGGGAGATGCACTCCTCCTGCTTTAGCCCCGTGGAGCGAGGCTTCTGGCTGTAGTAGAGACAAGACTGTGTACTCATCAGCCTGCATTCATCAGACCTGTCAGGACACTGGTGCTGACTAGGGCTCAGCGGCCAGGTGTCCCTGCTCCCTCATGGTCGTCCCATCCATTTCAGTCAGAGCTGAGAGAAATCTGGCCGTAAAATTAGAAACCAAAGACCCACAGAATTGGGGTCAATAGACTGTACATTCCCCTTCAGATCAACACTGCTGAGCACTTGCAGCTTGTCTGGCACACTAAAGATGGCCACGTTCGGCTTCTAACGAACGATCTCATAGTGAAGATCGTGACGAGTGGTGTGAGTCTTGATGTAAAAGGAAATGACATCATGTAGGTTTCACCCTGAAAAGTAATTTCCTTGGTTTTAAAGAACTGCTAATCCCAAAATAATTGCATCTGTCTGGGTTTTTTCGGGGGCATTATTTAGTCTCCCAGGTACTCTGTGCTGTGCTTATTAATGGATGATCTCATATCCTTGTGTCGGTGTTGTTCCCACATCATCATAATAAATGTTGTTCCAGGTTCAACATTGCAAGTGACCAATCACGTTGTTGTGACGTCCCCCTTTTGTGACTTTGAAAATACAGCCTTAAAAAAATCTACTTCACTTGGGAGAAGAGAAACCGCTTCTGTCCGCCCATCCAGGAACTTGAATTCTTTGCATTTCAGGATACTTTTCTTTAATAAACGGTAAGCATTATACATATTGTCCTTACAGAGGCGG